TGTCACGTTCTTTTAGGGACTTAGGCACTTTTTGCTTAGGCCAAAGTGCGCGTGATCAAGTGCCCAATACCTTAAAATCCTTTTATACCGCAGTTACTCAACTTTTTAGGAGTTGGTACAATGCATCTTAAAAGGTGTCAAACAGTAAAGCTTTATATAGCTGGCCCGCTGACTTTTTTATATAGTCATGGTGCTGTTTGGGTTTTTAAGCAATTGATTGGATACAATATCATTGCTTTTTGCCACGTAAGTGTGCATTTTTATTGACCAATATTATGGCTTAGGCTGATTATATATTGTGATCATTTTTCAGGCGGTTGGTAAATCCTTTATGAGTTTATTTACTCGGATTTTATACCACATGTGCCATATATTTCCAGGTGTGGTGGAACCATGTGTCTTCTAGGGACTTAAGCACATCTGTTAAAGCAGTGTGCGCATGGCGTATGCCCAATACTTTGGAAATTTCTTTATTCACAACATACAAGCTTCCTTATAGCTATTTTGCTATGTGAATTTTCAATGATGTAGCCAACTTTAGGTTACACTCATCATATTTTACAAAGCAGTCGGTATATCACTTGGATCATATTATTCAGGGATTCACACCGCATATGCTACATATTAATATTAAGTCGCTTGGTTGACTACAATTATCGAAACCACTCGGTGCATCTAGTCGATGCACCTGACTATATTTTTCAGCCCTCCACAGTCTTCAGATTTGGTAAAAGTACTCGGGAGACCATGGCGAAGATGATTGAAGCACTCGGCTTTGGAGTAATCTAGTTCGAGAGAAGGTTATCTTTCCGACTGTGAAGGTCTCAGGGGCTACTGTGGAGATTATGGGTACCCCATACCCACACGGCATGGTTATCCGACTAGTTATAGGGGATAACTTATATCTATGTAATATGTAACAGATCATGACTTGGGTGTTACGTTTCCTTGTATATTACGGAACGGCCTAAAGTCCTGATTTAGGAAACCGATACCGTATTGGTTAAGGTTTCTATCTTGTAATCCTGCCCCCCACCCTATATAAGGTGGGCAGGAGGCCCTCTAGGGGGTATGAGACAACCTGATCGTCAGATCAATACACACCCAGCGGATTCAAATCCCCAAACAGGAGTAGGGTATTACCTCTCATTGAGAGGGCCTGAACCTGTCTAAATCCTTTGTCTCCGCATCCATCCACTTTTAGGTCTCGTGCGCTACCCCCTTTTATTATTGCCGAATTCATGTTTCGACAAATCTGCTGCCTAAAGACTTTGCAATCATTAGTAGCATGAGAATTAGATTTATGCCACTTGCAATATTTCCTCTTCCCTAGCTCCTCAGCCGATGGAATTATATTACCAGCAGGAAGTTGTATCTGTTTCTCCTGAAGTAGTAAATCAAAAATCTTATCAGCCTTGGTGATATCAAAGCCATACCTTTCTTCTTTCCCAGAATTCTTTACCCATTGACATGGCACAACCTTTTTACTCCTCGCCCACTCAGCTGCTGCTACCTCGGAGTCATCCTCCTCTTCAGAGTCATACATATAAGGATACGCATGATTGATCTTCTTGAAATTCTTCTTAGCCTCTGCAAACCTCTGCTTATGTAGAGTCACCTTCTGTGCAAGATGAGACAAGCTCTCAAACTCTTGAGATGAAAACTTCTCCTTGATCGGAGCTATCAAACCCTGGAATGTAAGATCGGCTAACTGAGAATCTGTCAAGGCCAAACTGTAACACTTATTCCTCATATCTCTGAATCTCTGAATGTAATCTTGCACAGTTTCATCATGCCTTTGCCTAACTGCTGTCAAGACAGAAAGCTTCATCTCATGGGTCCCACTGTAGAAGTAACTATGAAACTGCTTCTCCAAATAGGCCCAACCTTGAATAGAATTATAAGGCAATGAAGAAAACGATGTGAATGCTGACCCGGGCAAAGACAGAGGGAACAATCGAACCCTCAAAGCATCGACAGCCGATGCCTCACCACATTGAACCAAGAATCGGCTGACATGCTCATATGTTGAAACATTGTCTTATCCTGAAAACTTTGAGAAGTCTGGAACCTTGTACCGGTTAGGTAGTGGAACTCTTTCAAACCACTCAGGATAGGGATGCCGATACAAATTTCCAATATCCTAAGCCCGAACTGCTCCCTCATCACATCTGCAATCATGTCTGCCCAAGGCTTCTGTTGGGGAACTCCTTGCATCTGCTACTGTACTGGATCAAATTGATTGAACTAGGGCAGAAACTGGGGCTGAGGTGATCCTCCTGTTTGGTATTGAACTTGAGGTGAACGAGGCTGATACTGGAAGTTCAAATTATCACCAAGATAGTTCTCAGGAGGCTGTTGCACATTATACATTTGTTGTTCAGGAACAAATTGAGCCCCAATAGGCTGATTTTGCTGAGCAATAGGTGTTCTCTGCCTTGCTGGTATCTGTTGCACCGTCTGCTGCCTAACCAGCTGGACAACTTGCTGCCCAATCGGCGTCGACTAAATTGGTTCAACAATCGGCTGAGTTGGCCCGAACATTGCAGCAATCTACTCCTGAGTCAGCCGATTGATATTCTGTCCAACGTGCTGAGGTTGCTCTCTGGTCAACACACGAGGATTAACCACCTGCCTTTGTACTGACGATGGTGCACCTGGTGCTGGAGCTGAAACTGATGTCGTCGGTTGGACTGGAGGTGCATTGGCAGTATGCTGCTGGTTGCCTGTCACCAAATTCCTGTACTGCGGGAAGACACCATCTAGTAGAAAAACTAGTCCCTTGTTTTGATGCTCAGCAATCGTGCCATGAACCATAGATTTGATCATGTTTGTTAAGGTATTGACAAGCACTCCTGATTGGTTGATCAAAGCATGTTGAACAACATAGTCAACTTGATCTTGGAAATTATTGAATTTCAAAGGTTCTTGCTCCTCAGCGTCCTCTTCTTCAACATCCTCAACCTCACCATCCCTAGGCTCCCCACCTTTATCACTTGAATTATCTGCACTGCCCTTGGCTTTACCATGCTTAGATGAGCTTGTTCCAGGTTCATCGGCAGCAACCACCTTCAGCTTGTACTTTTGAATGATTGTTCCTGAGAGGGTCTCCTTGAATGAATTCATGAATTTGTCCTGCACGCTGCTCATCATCCGCTCAAACTCCTGCCTTTGTTCTGGTGACAATTTGTCTATAGTGATTGGGACGATGTTCTTAGCTCCAACCTCAGAAGATGGATGCTTGGTCCCCGGAGGGTTTGGAGGCTTAACCGTCGACGGTGATTGGTTTTCTGCCATGAGAAAAAGTTATCGCAACTCGGTCCAACTGGGCGTGCCAAAAGCGTGTTGATGCGAAAAACATACACTGGCCTGTAAGATCTGATTAACTTTAGTGCAGGTCCAAAATCTTGCTTTTAGGCTCGTGAGCGTGCCAGTTGATTTGATCCTGCAATCAACAGAAAGAAAGACAAGAAAACCGCTGCTAAATCCATAAACGATAGCCGATCGGCTAGTTGTTGCTGACATATCATTTATCTTCAAGCCAATGTCATATTGGAATCGATCGACAGTCATGAACAAATAAGATAAGACTAAATCTACTCGATCGGCTGTAGATATTAACGATATATAATCCTTCATTCGATGTATATTTAAACTAAGTGATTGGGATAGATCGGTCACCATGCCGAGACAGTATAAATCACTTAAGTCGAATTATACATTAAAGTAATGATTATGTAAACGTTTATAGCATAGCCGATCAGATAGATCTAGCATGTATCGGCTAATACTCCGATACCACTTTATACTAAGATATTAAAACAAGTAAAATATATTAAACAAGAAGCCTAATATACTTTAGTGCAATAAGATCTCAATATAAAAGAAAGATCTAGCATATCAATCAAGCATATGAGATATAAAGTAGCTAAATCAGATAAGATCGGCTGAAACCCCGATGCTATCTCTTCCGATGATCATAAAACAAACCAGATATCATAATCATAGATATTACTTAATAGATCGAACTCAACCGATGCAACATTAAGCATAAAGACAAATATAAGATCTAGGCGAGATGATGAAAACCTCTAAGGGATGGTAGATACACGATATAATCTAGATTAATAACGAAACATAACTCTATCGACTGCTTTTTAATAGTAAGAACCAGCCGATGACAAGTTATATAGCGCAACTAGCAGAGATTACAAAGTGTATATGATAACTCGACGAATTACATAAACAATATTAGAGTGTCATAAAGATGGAAGCACTAATCCCTAGAACGCAAGCCGCCATGACAAGTTTACCTCTAGTTGAAGATTGAAATCGATGCAGCTCAACCCGAAAGCAAGAACTTGTCGAAATAGAACGAAAATAAAAAGGGTGGTGATGCGCCGAAAGTGTTATTGAAATGCTGTTGTAAATTATATGGGTTCGGGTTATATTTATACCCGAGATACATGATATGTCCTTGTCGGACACTACTCTTATCTTTAACAAACTCTAAGATACCATAAGTCTTTGCGGCAGACTTTTGCCCAAACATATCTCTAAGAAAATTACATAAAATATCCTAATTAATAGGTACAATTGCCCTTCTCAGAACATATCTCTATCGTGGCAATCCTTGTGAAGCACGCAGATCGATTATGGAAACAATCTCAGAACCATATTTATCAGAATCGGCTGTATTGGCTCTATCGACTGTATCGGCTGTCCTCTGTCCAATCCATCTCAGCCGGTGCAGACTCCAACCGATGCCTTCGCAGCCGATGCATACTCTGTTCTTCGAATCTAACTCTTTGTTGAATCCACTTCGATTCCAATGCCGAACCTGGTTCATATCTTACCAAATTTGGTCGTTAACACACCGGCGCCGCGTGGGCTGCCTCCTCCAGCCATGTAACACCCCAGAAAACCACATAAGCTTGGGATGCCACTAAACAACCATACATAAGTGCCGAAACAAGCAATTTTCGGCAACAACTACCTTAGACAAGAAAACATCACGGAAGCATCAACATATAGATTAAGGTTATGATACAACAACTAACTGACATGTAGGGATAGCCTTGAAAAAGTAGCTGATCAATGGTCGACAACTCTACTAAATAATTAACCCATTATATCTAAACACAAGTAATCTTATCAACATATTACAATAATCATGACTAAGTGAGATCATATCGTGCAACAGTGAAGCTAATCCCATCCCTTCATGCAAACATATCACAACAAGTACCTGAAAAGACTATAAGGGAGTGAGAATAAATCTCAGCAAGCAAACGGCTTTAACAAGCTATTTAAGCCACACGTTTATTATATAACTAATTAAATACCAAGATATGATTCACATAAAGACAAGTTCAATATGCAAGGACTAAAACATCATAGCGTCACCAATAAAATCCATATACTCACAAATCCCAGAGAAGAAAACACTTCTCAAAGATATCTTCGATCGATAATTCTCATAACATCTTGCAATATGTGCATATGCAATGCAATGATATGTACTCCTGCCTTCACACCGGTGTGAAGCTGCATCATATTACGGCAATATACGATGTTGTACCGGTACGGTCGCAACCATAGGTTCACGACATAACTTCAAATGCAATGCAAGTGATGCAAATGCAGTATGAATTCCAGAGTATAACATCGGAACTACATTCCTTCGATGCAGATCAGTATAAGGTTATTATAACCAAGAGCATAAAGTATAACCATAAACAGTGTAAAATCAATGAGTATGATTCAAATAGGTAAATCCTCTGTGTAACATATAATAATATCTTGGTTGATGATATATAATTTCAAAGTGGAGGTAGAATCAAATAACAAGTCAAAGCTGTAGCAAACCACCGCTACGTTTACTTGCCTCGAACAACGAAGAGACGATACCAAGCATTATCCGGAGCACCACAACCTATTTTCATAATTATAACCTTAGCATACAAACTCCCAAATTCATACAATGCAATAAATAAACACCCGCAGTCCACAACCCAAGAAACGTACAAAACAACGAAAGTCGTTCTCAACTAACTACAGCACTGCTGCTTCACATTTTTATATCTGTAAAACTACAAAGATTATGGATACAAATAAATATACTCTGAAGATCTACAGACAAAGACCTACAAACTGTATGTGAAAACAATATTTTAATTCTGACATTTTAAGGGGCTAATTCCTACTTGAAAACAGGGTTTATCATCTGTCTAGAAATTCAGACAGCAGAGAGTAAAAACTCTATATCTCAAGATTCAAAAATCCAATAAAGATGTACTTTACCAATATGGAAATATTAAAGCAATACCAACAACTTCGTTTATAGTTACAAAAGCTAATTCATCTGTTTAGCCCCTCTAAAAACAGTTTAATCGACTACTATCCAGATTATGACATAAAAACAACAGTTATACTCAAAAATTCATATCACCTAAACGACTTGAGATAAAATCGCGCCCTTTGGTGAGAAGATAGATCCAAACATTATCTACAACTTCCTGGTTATAAACTTTTCCAGAAAAAGCCGTTTTGATATACTAATTGATGAAATACTAAACCCCTGTAAATCTGCCCGCGAGTAGAATTACCAATCCGAATCATAGCAACAAAACCTCCTTACCTAAACCCTAACTACCACGAATTAAAACTCTCAAAACACCCAAAAACAACATTAAAACAGTGGGGAAGTCTCACCTAGGGTTTTATGGAGAACAAAAATAAAGATGATGGGAAACACCAATTCACCACTCCTCTTGTTCCTCCCCTCCTTCTCATTCCGTTTTTGCAACTAGTTTCTTGATCCATCATACGGTGCAAGAGATCATGGAAGAGGAAATCTCGTGAAGGGGAGAGAACACCTAACACCGTACATAGGAGGGAGGGGCGGCAGTCTTGGCGTCGTGGGGTGGGGGGAGAGAAGAGGGAATCCTGTCCCTCCTCCTGTAGGGTTTTAGATAGGGGCAGGGAAGTGGGCTGGGCTCATGGGCCTAGATCCAAGCCGAGCTGGCCCACTTACAAGGGAACTTTATTTAACTAATTATTGTTGCTACCTCATTATACCAAAAACAATATTATTTTTGGGTGTTACAAGCCAGCCTCCTCCATCCCGTCGGCCGCATCCATCTCCGGAAAAAAATCGGTCTGAAGAGACCAAAAAAACCGAGACTGAATTTGCCGGTCCTGAGTTTTTTTTAATGAAATTCGGTACCAAGTTTTCAAAGACCGAAATGACCGAAAGACCGCAGACCGAGACCGAATTTTTTGGTCTGACCGAATGCCCACCCCTAGCTGCGTCATCGTATTTGGGCCTTGGGGCCGTGTATCGTGTTGGAACCCATTAGGGTTGTGCCAAGAGGGGGTGCACGACCCTAAACTCTATATATCAGTACCCGCCGTCATCTTTTGTGTTTGGGTTTTGCTTAGATTATTCTGTCGAGAACAGTTTCACCGCTAGATCGGTGTATAAGACCCCAAGTTGTGAGCTTAATCATTCATCTGCAATTTTTGTTGTATTCTATCTCATTCTTATTTGTGTTCTTCAATTGGCAAACAGGGATTAGCCTTCTGGGCAAGGTCATTTGCGTTTCAACACGGGTGATAACCAGAGCAGACGTGGTACTGCGATTGCGGGGCTCAAGAGCGTGCGCGTTCAAGAAGCCGGATCGATTTGTGTCGCGACTCCGCCCAAATCGTTGTTTATCAGAACCATCCTCCCAGATTCATTTGCAGGCACTAAAGCGACCAATTGAGTTAGCTGGGCTTCTATCATTTTGTTAAAACTCAGCTGGTTTTGAAAAGCAGAAGCGAAGCCATCTAGCTTGACATTAATGTTTTCTAATACCTTGTCATTGGCAGCTAGCTTTTTGCTTAAAGCATCAGTGGTCTTAGCTTGTGCAAAAACGAGATCTTTCAATGTGGGTTGGTTAGAAAAGTTACCGTTGTTGTTACCTCCTTGATAGTATGGGCGTGGCTGGTTCCACCCCTTACCTCCTTGTGGACGATACCCGTTGTTGTTGTTGTTACCCATGTACATCGCCTCTTCACGGGTCTCCGGGCAGTCATTCCCAGAGTGACCTATGCTACCGCAGACTTCACACGTAACGTGTGAGTCCAAAGCTTTGACGGTGCCTTGTGGCCTTTTGTCATGGTCGTCCAATCGCTTTATGAGGAGGTCCAGCTTGGCAACTAGGATTGTAAGTGGGATGGGTTGTGGGCCGTCCCGCCCCGCCCCACACCAGCCGCAAACTGCATGTGCGGGCAAACGGCAGCCCGCCCCGCACGGCTTGGCGGGATTGCTCAGCCCGACGGGCACTGTTGGACAGCCCACAATGTGCACATCTCTGTTTAATTAGGTTCATCAATCACACAAGCACATAACTACTCCATATCCCAAATTTAGCACATGAAAACTGTATTATTTTCATGTGAAAGTATTCTTTTTCAATGACATAACAAGTATAGTACTGAATAAGAACACCATTCTTTTCCTTCAACATCATGCCTAAAGTTAGAGTGATGATGATGCATTTTCTCTTCATGATAAACCAACTGTACCAATTGACAAAGTGACAAACAACTGCTTCCAACTCCATGAGCTCTTCCGGTCTTTTTCTATATTACCTTCAACACATTAAATTTAATAAAGTTAGAGTGGAGAAACTACTAATCGAAAATTAGAAATGAATTCATCAACCGACAGATCACAACGTTATTCCATATTGTAGAATGGAGTAAATATGTACTAAGTTTCATCAATTAAGAATGCATCCAAAATATGAATTAAAGGACATAATTGACAATAACAAGCAGTTATCGAGGATAGTGAGATATATAACCTGCTGCTGGTTGTTGTGCTGGTACTACATGTTACTAGAGGTGTATAGGCATTTTCACCTGTATAGGAACTTCCTATTAGGAAGAAACAATGGAGTTAATAAAAAAGAGTACATGCTGGACTGCTGGATGTTGTTTCTTTTTTATTAAACAATGATGTTAGTGGTGTAGTATACAACTATACAAAAATATAGAATAGCCAAGTTAATTCAAACGAATCTCAATTTAAATACCTGAATGTTGCACATTTTGGTCATCACTCTCAGCAAGATCACGTGCAAAGAAATCACCCAAACCTTCTGCCCTCATCCAATCTTGAAGGCAAATCAATGCCTCTACAGTACTGCTCGAAAGTCTACTTCTATAGTCACTAATGATCCTTTCTCCAGTTGAAAATGCTGCCTCTGATGCCACTGATGTTGCTAGAATAGCCAAAACATCACGTGCCATTCGTGAAATCACAGGGTACTTTGTTTTGTTTACCATCCACCAGTTCAAGATATCAAAATCATGCCCATCTTGGAAATCACCTTCCTGAGGCATATCAGCAAGATATCGACTAAGCTCACTCTTTACTTTGCTCCTACTTTTGTCATGTAGAAACTGTCTCCAATCAGCGAATTGATTACTTGCATCAACATTCTGCTCAACACTTGTTTCGGGCTGAGAATTGATGTTGTTTGAGCCCCCATACTTGGCAGAATATTCATCAAACAATTTCTGCATATTACTCTTGATTTCCTTAAGGTAAGGAGTTGCAGCAGCTCCAAATGCAGACTTCAAACGAAACTCAATGAATTTGTACTTATACCTTGGATCAAAAATAACCGGGAAACATATTTGCAAGTATTGAGCGTCCCAGTACTTCTTAAATTTTTCTTTCATTTCCTTGACAATAGATGCAATGGTGACATCTTCATTTGTAGCCTCCTTGTCCAAAACCATCTTTATCTTCCAAAGTTCATGAAAATAGCATGTTGAAGTTGGGTACAACGTACCAGATACTGCAACAGTAGCTTCATAGAAAACTTTCAACAAAGCACAAAGCTTCTCAGCCATTATCCATTGATAATCGAAGGGTTGATGCGAATAATTTATGTCATGCCGATCCAAGGCTTCAAAGGCCATTCTGACCAATAAAGATGACTCGAGCATTAAGTATGTCGAATTCCATCTCGTTGATACATCAAGCGATGGTCGTCTGTTAGTTTTTATTCCCACTTGAGCAATCATCTCTTCAAACCTTTGACCACGTGATTGCGAACTCCGAGCATATTTAACACTTTCTCTTATACTGTTAATGGCGTTGCTCATGGTTTTTAGCCCATCTTGGACAATTAGATTGAATATATGGGCAGCACAGCGGAAATGCAACTACACTCCATCACAAGGCAACATTGTCTTACCAACAAGATTGGTTTTCAGATGAATCATCATTGTATCATTCGCACTTGCATTGTCTAAGGTAACACTGAATAACTTATTTTCGATATGCCACTCCTGAATGGCCTTTAGCATTTCACTGAACATAGTGATGCCATCATGTGGGGTCGGCACTAGAGCAAACTTTATAATTCTCTTTTGCAACTTCCGTTCATTATCAATGTAATGACAGGTAACACACAAATAGCCTAAGTTCTGGATGGAAGTCCACATGTCGGCAGTAAGTGATACTCAAGAATTTGAGCTCTTCAAGACATCAAATAAAGCTAACTTATGATCCTCATAAGCAGCCATACAATCATTTCTCAGTGTGGTTCTTGATATCACCTTAAAATATGGATTTAAACTTGCAACAAATCTCCTAAATCTAACATGCTCAACAATGCTAAAGGGTAACTCTTGCAACACAATCATCCTAAGAAGTTCTTTCCGTGACACTTCTTGGTCAAATTTCCAATTCTTCATAACATCGGCGGTAGGGGACAAGTTGGCATGCATATGCTCAATCAAATGGTGCACTCTAAGCCTGACCTTACAAACTTTCAAATGTCTAAAGCACTGACTAGTCCCAGAAGATCGGCTAGCCACGAAAACCTTATTGCAGTGGATACATTTAGCATGTGATAGTTTATCATTAGTACGTATTGGATCAAATTCTTTCCACATTGTAGATTTCAGTTTTCTTGCTCTCCCTGTGGCTAAGCACAAAAATATTGCTATAAATACACTAGTGACAAGTAAAGTAAAAATACTGCACTGACAAGTATTATACGAATATTATAAGTATACCAGCGACATTTCGACAAGTACTCTATGTTCAGTTTATACATATTGTGCAATTGCAGTACATGCACACAATCAATTAATATAATTTAATTCATAGACATGAATAGATTACTGTAACAATCAATTAATGGCTATTGCATACATATTATATAACTGCAGTACATGCATGCAATCAATTAATGTAAAAATAATAATTCATAGACATGGATAGATAACGACAAAAATCAGAACAAATAATTTCAAAGAAAAGTCAGCAATTTCTTACCGTGACTCCCACAAGGAGTCGCTCTTGTCTGATTTGTCATATCGATATCATTAGAAGTTGGGGCTGGTGATGGAGTTCTTTGCCTTGAAGAATTGATAATTGCCATTGGAGATCTAACAGATGGAGAGCTCACTTGGGACATCATGTGTCTCACCCCTGGGGACCTTACTAATGGCAAAATAGGTGACCGTGGTCGCTTGGCTGAAGGAGGATCTAAAGAAGACTTTTGCTTTGCCCCTAAAAGGGTTGCCTCTTCAGTAGCTTCAACCGATGATGGGGTCGACATGGAAGAAAATTTGTGCTGAAAAGAGCAAAATTGTGAGCATAGTAAAATTGTGAGCACTTATGAAAAGAGTAAAATTGCGAGCACTTGTGAACTATATAACACTTCAAAAATCAAAACAAATAGACTATATATCATGAAGGGCAAATAATAAAAAGAATGCGTAGCACTCTACTATCAGCACATGTGCCTGCTTGGTCCTCTATTAGAACAGTACTCTGATAGTCTGATTGGGCCAACAGTTGTGTAAGTGTTCTGTTTATTTCACCAAGATGAAATTCTGAATAACTAATGCAGATGCAGGGAAAACATGAAAAAATAATTATCCAGTGTAACATCTGGGGTGAATATTACTACTACATGTAACTGTACTTTATATACTATAGAACAAGAAAAAAAATCTGAAGCTAATAATTAAGAAATTAGTCTGAAGGAAACTTCTCTGAATGTGCACCTATCAATCTTGTTATGTCAAACCAGTGGTAGCTGATCATGCACCACATTAATTAGATAAAAAAAAGATGCAATAGATCATTTGCAGACGCTGATGTCCAGTATAACAATGGCTAGATCACCAATCACACTCAAAGTTTAACATATACAAAAACAAATAGAGTGAGTGAGACAACCTGCTGCAATTCTTGGAGAAGCAATTCGTTGATTCACATAAATACACAAGAAACACATGAAAGGTTAGTTTGATCTTGTACCTTAATTAGTGTGTAGAGATCTGGAGGCAGCAGCGCAGCGTCGCAAGCTGCAGGATTTGGATTGGATGGATCTATCAAGAACTATCAAGAACTGAAGTATGGAATGCACTGGATTCGCTATTTCGCTGGATCAGGAGACTGGAGGGCGTCGGCTGCTGGATTTGGATGGATGGGCGACGAGGAAGACGAGAGTAGCGGCCGCTGCGGCGCCGTCTCGCCGCCGCCGTCTCCCGTCTCCCGTCTCGGCTGCGCCGCTGCGGCTGCGTCTCGCGTCTCCCAGTCTGTGCCCTAATGCCGTGGCGCCCAATGGGCTGTGCGGGATGGGCCAAACAATTTTGCAAGGTCCACGCGGGATGGCCAGCCCGCAAATTTGCGGGCTTTTTTGTGGGGCGGGACTGTGGGCCGAAAAAAAAGCCCGCCCCACTTGCATCCCTATTGGCAACAAGCATTTCTGTCTCCTTGATGGTATGCATGCCTCGCTGACAGGTTTGGAGTCGTTCCTCGCTCCAACCCATATTAGAGACCATCTTCTCTATTAAATCAACGGCACCTCGAACCGTCTTAGAAAAGAAGGCTCCTCCAGCTGCCGCGTCCAGCTGGTCACGGGACATGGGGGTGAGTCCATTGTAAAAGTTCTCCAGGATCAGCCAGTCGTCCATCCCATGATGAGGACAGGAGGCCACATATTCCTGGAGTCGTTCCCACGCCTCAGGAATGGACTCGTCCCTCGTCTGCTGGAAACTTGAAATTCTGCCACGAAGGGCGTTGGTTTTGCCCATCGGAAAGAACTTCGAGAGGAATGCCGTAGAGCATCTGTCTCAGGTGTTGATAGTAGCACGGTTGGCAATCTCTATTATAAATCTTCCCCGGCAACGGTGCTAGAAATTCTTGTTGGTATTTCTTAACGACATTACTAGAAATGTAATTCCCAGCAATGGCACAGAAACACTCTTGGTATATTATGGTTACAGAGTTTATCTGCAAGCGCACGGATATACCATTGTAGCATTTCACGCGAGAGTATTCTATGGGTATCGTATTTGTTTAATCCCGTGGGAAGATCATAGTAGAGAGAACCTGACTAATAATTTATATGTTACTTGTAATAATCATAGTCTAAGCAGGGGTCAAGATAAATCAAGGGTAGAGTGACACACAAGCAGGAGCTACTCATTCTCATACTAAAGTATCTAAGCTAAGTGGAAAGAAAAGAGAAAGATAATCTATTCCTATACTTCTAGTATACATAGTATACATACATCCTACTTATCTGACATACTAGCTAATACCCTCTATCCGATGCCCTCCTGGTACTTTGAGAAGCCACCCCTGACTGCCGAGTTCCTTACGACAGCACGTCATGACCATACAACTGGGGCTAAATACGGAGGAGTACCGTCCCCAGGAAATTAACTTAGGACTATATACACGTGTGGAGGAATACCCGTACTGAGCTGTCACCATTAGTGGCCCACCTCTCATCCACAGCATATAACCCCAAATAATGATATCCCATAATCTAGATACCATGCCTATACTACCAGATACTACTCCAATATCATTGTCATGACATAGAGTAATTGCATAAGCAAACATTATACCCGTACCAATGCATCTCCCAGATAAGCTAGCAGTATAATCAGTATAACATGAACATAATGTAAAGTTGGCATTAATATACTCGGAAAGTATTCCAATACCATAAATGTATAAAGCTTACAAAAGAGGAAAGGAAAGCTACTAGAGCCATACCCGAACTCTTTCGAAGGCTTCCGGACTCCGATTTCTACTCTATTCCTATTCCACTAGCTTAAGAACACTAAAATAAACTTAAGAGAATATGAGAGAGCTTTTCTTGAGGTGTGTGAGTGAAGTGAGAAAGTGAAGTCCTTATATAAAGGTAGGAATTATCCGAAGTGCCCTCCAACCGT